ATTACAAGTACATTTTAAAAATACATCCACCTCTTTAATGACACAGCATTAGTGAGATTGTCTAAGTATTCACAGTACAGTTTTCATCATAATCACAATCCATTTCAGAATAATATTTTAAAAAATACAAATTATACTCATATGTATGTCTTTTTAAAATAATTAAACACTATACAAGGTAAAAAATATATATATAAATACATATACTCTGAAAACCCGATGATCGCTTTATATTTCAGCTATGAGTTTGAGCGTTAAACATGACTGAAATAGTTTGTGTCCCTGAATAATATCTGTAGACAGAACTGATAGATCAATGTCCCTGAATAATATCTGTAGACAGAACTGATAGATCAATGTCCCTGAATAATATCTGTAGACAGAACTGATAGATCAATGTCCCTGAATAATATCTGTAGACAGAACTGATAGATCAATGTCCCTGAATGATGTCTGTAGACAGAACTAATGGTTGCAGTGTCCCTAAATAATTTCTGTAGACAGAACTGATAGATCATGGTCCCTGAATGATGTCTGTAGACAGAACTAATGGTTGCAGTGTCCCTGAATAATGTCTTTGGACAGACAGATCAACGTCCCTGAATCATGTCTGTAGACAGAACTGATAGATCAATGTCCCTGAATGATGTTTGTAGACAGAACTGATAGATCATGGTCCCTGAATGATGTCTGTAGACAGAACTAATGGTTGCAGTGTCCCTGAATAATGTCTTTGGACAGATAGATCAATGTCCCTGAATCATGTCTGTAGACAGAACTGATAGATCAATGTCCCTGAATGATGTCTGTAGACAGAACTGATAGATCGATGTCCCTGAATGATGTCTGTAGACAGAACTGATAAATCAATGTGCCTTAATTATGTATGTAGATAGAGCTGATCGATTATTGTACCTTAGTGATGTCTGTAGACAGAACTGATAGATCAATGTGCCTTAGTGATGTATGTAGACAGAACTGATAGATCAATGTGCCTTACTGATGTCTGTAGACAGAACTGATGGTTGCATTGTCCCTGAACGATGTATGTAGACAGAACTAATGGTTACAGTATACCTGAACAATGTCTGTAGACATAACTAATGGTTTCATAGTCTCTGAACGATGTATGAAGACAGAACTAATGGTTGCATTGTCTCTGAACGATGTATGAAGACAGAACTAATGGTTGCATTGTCTCTGAACGATGTATGTAGACAGAACTGATGGTTGCAGTGTACCTGAACGATGTATGAAGACAGAACTAATGGTTGCAGTGTCTCTGAACGATGTATGAAGACAGAACTAATGGTTGCATTGTCTCTGAACGATGCATTTAGACAGAACTGATGGTTGCAGTGTACCTGAACGATGTCTGTAGACAGAACTGATGGTTGCATTGTCCCTAAACGATGTATGTAGACAGAACTAATGGTTGCAGTGTACCTGAACAATGTCTGTAGACTGAACTAATGGTTGCATTGTCCCTGAACGATGTATGTAGACAGAACTAATGGTTGCAGTGTACCTGAACAATGTCTGTAGACAGAACTGGTGGTTGCAGTGTACCTGAACAATTTCTGTAGACAGAACTAATAGTTGCAGTGTCACTGAATAATGTCTGTAGACAGAACTAATGATTGCAGTGTCTCTGAATGATGTATGTGGACAGAACTAATGTTTGTAGTGTCTCTGGACGATGTATGTAGACAGAACTAATGATTCCAGTGTCTCTGAATGATGTATGTAGACAGAACTAATGTTTGTAGTGTCTCTGGACGATGTATGTAGACAGAACTAATGGTTGCAGTGTACTTGAACGATGTATGTAGACAGAACTAATGGTTGCAGTGTCGCTGAATAATGTCTGTAGACAGAACTAATGATTGCAGTGTCTCTGAATGATGTATGTAGACAGAACTAATGTTTGTAGTGTCTCTGGACGATGTATGTAGACATAACTCGTGGTTGCAGTGTACTTGAACGATGTATGTAGACAGAACTAATGTTTGTAGTGTCTCTGGACGATGTATGTAGACATAACTCGTGGTTGCAGTGTCGCTGAATAATGTCTGTAGACATAACTCGTGGTTGCAGTGTCTCTGAACGATGTATGTAGACAGAACTAATGGTTGCAATGTACTTGAACGATGTATGTAGACAGAACTAATGGTTGCAATGTACTTGAACGATGTATGTAGGCAGAACTGATGGTTTTAGTGTCCCTGAATGATGTTTGTAAACAGAACTAATGGTTGCAGTGTCTCTGAACAATGTCTGTAGACAGAACTAATGGTTGCAGTGTACCTGAAAGATGTCTGTAGACAGAACTAATGGTTGCAGTGTACCTGAAAGATGTCTGTAGGCAGAACTAATGGTTGCAGTGTCTCTGAACAATGTCTGTAGACAGTACTAATGGTTGCAGTGTACCTGAAAGATGTCTGTAGACAGAACTAATGGTTGCAGTGTACCTGAAAGATGTCTGTAGGCAGAACTAATGGTAGCAGTGTACCTGAATGATGTCTGTAAACAGAACGGATGGTTTCATAGTTCCTGATAATGTTTATAGAGAGAACTAGTGGTTTCAGTGAGCCTGATGATGTCCGTAGAAAGTCGATGGTTTATATGTACCTGATGATGTCTATCGAAAGTTGATGGTTTCTGTGTACCTGATGATGTCTATAGACAGAACAAATGGTTTCAGTGTACCATATCCATGTCTATAGACAGAACAAATGGATTCAGTGTATGGTTTCAGTGTACCATATCCATGTCTATAGACAGAACAAATGGTTTCAGTGTACCATATCCATGTCTATAGACAGAACAAATGGTTTCAGTGTACCATATCCATGTCTATAGACAGAACAAATGGTTTCAGTGTACCATATCCTTGTCTATAGACAGAACAAATGGTTTCAGTGTACCATATCCATGTCTATAGCTTAAATTGATTGACTAACTGAAGTCTTCATGTTTATTTCTGTTCATGTGATACCTGACCGCCTTGACATTTCTCTCAACGAATACGATTTTTCAGTTAATTACCTTATTGGATGACATGTCTATTGCTTGATAGTCTGTTGTGTTTTCATGAACATTCTTGTTTTTATCTGTAGAAAGCCTCCATCAGATCTGATGTTTATTCTAACATAATCTGTTTTTATAGTGAAAATGGTCTGATATACTTGGTCAGTAGATTGTGGTATTCCTTCCTTACTAATAATAGCCATAATTTATGTTTTCTGCAGCTCAACCGTAACCCTGGCCTCTGATTGTGTGTGATTATAGGAACAGCATCCAGTATATATTAAAGGTCTGCCTCATTATCTATATGTCGGTTTTTTTCTTCCATCCGTTAACGGATCAAGTTTTCAACCAGCTCTCACTAACTCCACCATACTATCGCACCCTACGTGTCTTATTCTCTTTCATTCTGTTACTTTCTGCTGTGTGTGTATGCGCTTGTTTTTTTTTTTAATGTTGTCTCTCTCTTTTTATTTCGAGCCAGTTGCTAGCAGTCCAATGACATTTTAATGTTTTTTTTTAATGTGTGACTTATTCAAAGCCACCATCTTGTTCCCTTGATTGTATCAAAACATGAAAATTTGCTCCATACAGTGCATAATTCAGTTAGTGACTGTTTGTAGCTTATCAGTAGTTTCTTATGTTTATTTTATATCACGAATAAACGTTTCTGAGAGTTTCTTATGTTTATTTTATATCATGAATAAACGTTTCTGATAGTTTCTTATGTTTATTTTATATCATGAATGAACGTTTCTGAGAGTTTCTGATGTTTATTTTATATCATGAATAAACGTTTCTGAGAGTTTCTGATGTTTATTTTATATCATGAATAAACGTTTCTGAGAGTTTCTGATGTTTATTTTATATCATGAATAAACGTTTCTGATAGTTGCTTGTGTTTATTTTATATCATGAATGAACGTTTCTGATAGTTTCTTAAGTTTATTTTATATCATGAATGAACGTTTCTAAGAGTTTCTGATGTTTATTTTATATCATGAATAAACGTTTCTGAGAGTTTCTGATGTTTATTTTATATCATGAATAAACGTTTCTGAGAGTTTCTGATGTTTATTTTATATCATGAATAAACGTTTCTGAGAGTTTCTTTTCAATTTATAATTTGACCACACTAGCGACAAATTAAGTGGAGGCATAAAACAACTATTCTGATTGGCTCATTTTGACCTACTTCTTTACCATTTGTAATGGCTGCAGGCTGTTTTCAGTATATGTTCTTTATAAACTGTATGGCTTTTTCTGTCCTTTCTGAGCTCTATAAGCATGTTCTTTCTGGCAGTACAAATCTGGCTCTTGCAAAAGCCCTTGTATATTCAATGAAGCAAAGAAGTTAGTTGTAGGAAAGGCAACAATACGTCTTGTCGTAATGAAATCTCCTAACTTTGGTAAAACAATTACAGTCTAGCGTAATATTGGCACAGACACTCAGCACGGGTGCATGAGATATCAGGTAAAATATTGTTTCATTAACTCTTTAGTACCAGAAGATTTGGCAGCAAATGCTCAAATGGAAAACAAAATGACGATAGCTAAACCACTGCCTACTATAGCTTTTTATGAGACTATCCAGGTCAATGGAAATACAAATTAAACTACAGTTTCAGATAAATTAATGTGTTATATATTATTATTGTTATTATTATTACATTTTCTAATAACATTATTATTATTGCACATTAATTTATCTTCAAAATGATAATTATTATAAAAACGTGTTACAAATTAATGAAACTGTAATTTAATTTGTGTATAATCTACTCGATAAACATAGTAAACACACACCGGCCTCTCGGAGTTGCACAAAAACGGGATGGTCTCATAAAAAGATCAAGTGGGTCGCAGCTAAACACAGTGAATGTGGCTATTAGGGTTGCCAGATTTATATAAAGTCTGGCTTGGACCAAATTTAGAATGCAATTTTCTGGCTTTGACTGACAGGAAGGCTGCCATCATATACTAACTGGTGTCTGGGGCGGAGATAGTTGGGACAGCGGCTGAGATAGTTGGGACAGCGGCTGAGATAGCTGAGAATTAACGAGTTGGGGCAGCCGTCGCTTCTTCTGTTTGGGTTTAATAAGTCCCAATCGTAATCCTATCCGATTGAATCTCATTCTGACTTCTTCTTGCATCAGATTGAAACACATGGCAATAATCGCCAGCCCCATGAACAGATACATTGCACTGGCTATCAGTTTTAAGTTGTTGTTGTTGTCTGAGCCAAAACCGAAAACGAAGTCCCCGAATCCAATGGTGCTGAGTGTGATAAAGCAGAAATATGCAGCCACAAGATAGTCCCAATCTTGTTGCCATGTTGAAAACAATACCGCACCCCCACCAATATATCCGCCAATTATCAAAAGGCTAACCCACAGAGGAACTGTCACGCCTTTGGTGTTCAACGCTTCCTTGAAGATGGTCTTCCTTGGCAGTTCGACTTTTGGGCCCCTGCAAGTGCACATACGTCCCAAAGTCAAAGAGACGTACTTGTACAAGAACCGAAAGCATTTGGCCCATGTATCACCGATTGTACTCAAGCATAAAAGTGTCAGTGGTATGCCAAGTAAGGCGTACAGCATGGTTGTCATCCGTCCCCAATGCGTCTTGGGAGCTATGTGGCCGTAACCTGTAGATTGAAATCAGATAATTACAACCAGTCAGTATTGCTATTATTCAACATAACTATATTATAGACATAGTTATGATTCACTGATGTGTGTATGTACGTGAGTCACATGAACACGTATGAAACAGGAAAACAATTATACATATGCAATGTTATGGTTTGGCTGACAGAGGGATCCTTTGTGGGTCTCTTCTTCTTCTTCTTCTTTCGTTCGCCTGAAATAAGTTGTCTATATCAGCAATTTTGTCTATTGAATAAATTTCACTGTCGTTGTTAGTTCATTCAGTGGTCCATAAAGTTTACGTTCTACTGTTGTTCTTTCTGGCCAAAAAGTTTGCCTGGAGTACATGCTGTGCTGTCTGTGGCACATTTCCACAGGTGCACATGGCTGATACACCTATCTTGAATTTTGTGTACATGTGGTTACGTAATCGGTTGTGCTCTGTTCTGAGGCGGAAGATAATGACTTGTTCTGGTCTGTCTATAATAAAATAGTCGTCTTGTGCTGGAGCTGGTGGTTTCCTGATCGATTTAATGATTCTTTTCTTTTGGTGGTATGTGACTAGTACATCCGGCTGCACTTTTGTCGCACCTTCCCCTGCCAGTTGATCAGCTTTCTCATTTCTAGGCACTACACAATGAGACGGTATTCACTGCATTACGACTCTTCCCTGAAGGCTGAGTTGTGTCAGCAGTGTTTGCAATTCTGGTAATTTCGTAGACTGGAGTGCTTCAAGTACTGATTTTGCATCTGTCAGCATTACTAGAAACTGTGAGCCAAGATTGGTATTTAGCATTTTCTCTGTTGCTATCTTGATAGCCTGAGTTTCTGCATCATAGTTATGGCAGTACTTCCCGGTTGTTAGGTTGGACTTATCCCTAGTACCATCTGGGAATTCTATGTACACTCCAGCACCAAAATTTCTAACTGCACTTTGTGCAGACCATTCTGTATAGACTCGGACCCATTGTTCTTGTGGGTATTCTTCATCATATAACTGAGGGTGGCCATTCTGCGTTGTACACTATCTTGCTCTTTGTGTGTGTGTGTGTGTGTGTGTGTGTGTGTGTGTCAAATATTCCTTTGACATGTGCCTGGATTTGTACAGTTAGTTTGCATTTTTTCTCTCCATGGGGTTTGTTCTGGGATACTTTTAAGTGGACAACCAATTTCTGGAAGGTCAGTAGTTTGTCTACATATTTGTTTTGTTTGGTGTATAAAGCTGCTTCTTTTTAACCGTTCCAAGGCTAGGTTCTGAAAACTATTTTTCTTGGGGTGATCTGGCATACTGAGAAACTTTTCAGCATGTATTTGCAACTTTGTATCTCTGCGTTCTCTCAGTGCCTGTGTTTTCCCAGCTTTCCCCATTTATAATATGAGAGTTGATTTCATTCCTCCTGTGGTGAGTGTGAGCTCTTAATTTTGCACTTTGTCCAACTCCTTTAATGTAGTACTAGATGCTGAACACAATGCAGTTAACACATATTCCAAGTGTGGTTGTATGCTCTGCTTGTATACTTTATTATTTTGCCTCTGGCTCCCCATGTAGTTCCACTTAGATTTCTTAGTATGGCTGTCTTCCTCCTGGCTTTGGTTGCTGCCTTGTTGATATGTTTTCTCCATGTCAACCTGTCATCAAATGTGACTCCTAGGTATGTGGGCTCTTTATCATCTCTCAGGGGTATTCCGTTTATTTTGATGATGCCCGCTTTTTGCTTTGGGGAGAGAGTGAAGAGTGTGGTGCTACATGTGCCTTCTGTGTTGATGCTGACACACAATCTATTCGCCCATGCCTCAAGTGCATATGTAGCGCGCTGTAGTGTTCTTGAAATAATCATTTATATGTAGTGTTCTTGTGGTTATCGTTGCATGTTCATTGGTGCACCACATTACCAGGTCGTCGGCATACATTGCCATTTTGATTCCATTTGATATCTCAGCAGCCAGGTCGTTGATGAATAAGAGGAAGAGTGTGGGCGACAGGACACCACCTTGAGGGACGCCATGTCGCAGTAGAACTTTTTTACTTTTAAAACTATCTACCTGTATCCGGGCTCTTCTGTTGTGTAGATATTATCCAATTGTACATTCTTCCATTTACTTTATAGTTTCTCAATTTCTTTAAAAGCTTCTCCTTCCAAACCTTGTCAAAAGCTTTCCTTAAATCTATCCATGCCGCGAGTACCAGTTTCTTATCTTGAAAAGCATCCTCTATTTCTTGGGAGAGGTATGTTGTCTGGTCTTCGGTAGAATAGAACTTTCTAAAGCCCGCCTGCTGTGGTGTAATGATGTTTTTAATTTCAATGTACCACTGTAGTCTGAGGTTGGTGATGCGCTCCATTGTTTTACAGAGACAGTTTGTGAGGCTGATCGCTTTGTGTTGTTAGAGGCATTGGAACTGTCTTTTCCAGGCTTTATGGGGGGTACCACAATTGCCTCTCTCCAGATCTGTGGAACATTCCCTGTTGCCCAGCAAGCATTAAATATCTGTAATAGCTTTGTTTTCGCTACTGTTCCTAAGTTTTTGATCATTTCGTTAGATATACCATCTGCTCCTGGTGACTTCCTCATTTTCAGCTTTGAAATAGCCAACTCCAGTTCATTAAGTGTAAGTAGCACCTCTAGCGCCTCTGATGTTATTTCTTTCTGACTTCTGAATAGTGTCTTTTCTTGAATTCATAGTCTTTTTCTCTGAACTGATTTCAATGTCGTTATCTAAAGCAAAAGTGTCTGCAAAGAGACTGGCTGCCTCTTTTCCTATGACCAAGTTTCCATCCTTCTGCAGCGTGATCTTTGAGTTCCACCCCGTGTCCTCGTCATTAATGTGTTTTACAAGCTTCCATAACTTTCTTGTGTCTTTTTCAAAGTTCAGCGACCTTGTTTTCTCCTGCCAGCTTCCCCTTCTAACCTGCAGCTTTGCCCATACAAATTTTGCTTTTGCATGCTGGTAGTTGTTGCGATGTTCTTGGTTTGGTCTGGTCA